ATGAACTCATACGGCCAGAGCGCCTGAATAATGATAATTATTATGATAATGAACTCATCATACGGCCAGAGCGCCAATAATGAATAATAATAAGTGACATAATAATAATGAACTCGTGCGGCCAGAGCGCCTGGCCCAAGGCTTGGAGCTGGCCCGAGAAGATCGTCCCGATCAGCGTCGCCGCCACCAGCTTCCTGCTGAGAGCGCCGTCCTTCTTGGTGATGTACCCCTGCGACAGCTCGATCGCGTACGTCACGATGAGCGCGCCGCCCGCAAACTCCTCCGACGCCTGACGTCACGATGGCAACGGCCCAGACTCGGGTCACGCGTGGACGGTCCAGACGGTCCAGACTAGTACTTGGACTGTGAAAGGGAGCTGCGCGAGGCCCACGTGGTGACTCCTCGCCTTGCGGAAGAACTCGGCGCCCTCGCCGTCGCCCAGCGCGTTGTTGACCGGGATGGCAGCAGCGCCTGACGCCGCCACGAACAAGGCGGGCACGGTGCACTTGGCCAGCACGAGCAGCCAGTCGGCCGGACCCTCCGCCTCCTCCACGAACGACGGATTCTTGGAGGAGGTGGCACCCCTTCTGACCGGCGTCTCTGTCGCCAGCGCCTGCGGTGGCTCTGGAGCATCCTCGAGCACCCGGACGTGGTCGGTCTTCCCATTGGTGGTCGAAACGAGCGCGCCGCTGCTGTATCCGCTGCTCGTGCGACGGCTGCACCTGCTGCTGACCATCTCGGCGCCGATGAGCCCGGTGATGCTCGAGCTGGATCCGCGGTCAGCGTCTACTCTGCTGGGCATCTGCCTGGCCTCTGGAGCAACGGCGAAGCAAGGCGACAAGGCGACGACAAGGCGACGGCGACGTCTGTGGCGCAGCCGTCGGAGGCGTGCCCGTTGTTGGCCCCCCGGGCAAAAGGGAAAGAATTTAAAGGCGGTGTCGCGAGGAAGAATACAGACCCGAGGCGTGGTGCGGGACATCTGGCGCTCTGGGCGGCGCCGGGGATGAAACAGGCGTGTGGTCAGCCGAGCGGTGCGTGCTCGGATACGATGCAGCCGCAGGAGGAGCGGCCGGTGCTGGGTTCGCAGGTTCAGCCTCTTTGGCAATCACCGCGCTTTGCTGCCGTGCCGGTGCCGCCGGTGCCGCCGCAGCCTTCTTGGCAGCCTCGAGGTCGAGGAGCGCCTGCACACGGCCGAAGCCAGACGTGCCGGTGTTTGGCAGGGCGTAGGCCTGAGCGTCGAACGGTGAACCAACGGCGACGTGGCCGGCGGGCGAGTGGACGAGCATGGATCGGGGTTTGTATGTAACGGCCGGCGGGCTCTGTACCTACTCGTACCTCGAGTACTCTCCCGAGCGACCTCGACCTCGAAAAGCCCGCCTCCCCGAGGGCCCCAAGTCAAGAATCTCGTTTGGCGATAGGGGAGGGAGGGTGCCGCCACCCTCTCCTTTTCGCCGCAAAAGTCCGCCGCACACCGCAAAACTTGGGATATATAAATAGCGTGCAGGCGCGGAGGGCGAGGGGGACGACAGCCGTGTATTTTCTCGCAGTTTTTACATTCGATAACAGACAGAGACATTTTCAGTCGCGCATATCGATCCCGGAGAGTGCGGCGAGAACAGGCGCCGACCCGGGTGCGATACCGAAGCTGGGGGCTCGCACGATAATCAGATTGTTGCCGTGACGGCACATGTCCTCTAGGGATTCGTGCTCGGTCCAGTCCAGGGTGTACGGCGGTTGCAGCAAATCGCCCTCGTTCGTGAGAATCCAAATGCGCTTCGTCCTAGTCACATGTAAGGCCCGCTGCGCTCTGTCAGTCCACATTTCGGACAGACACAATCGGTTGCCGAACCCGCACATGTCAAAGCGCAGCTCAAGTCCGTCTTCCCCAGGTCCTGTG